CGACCGAAGCAGATCGAAGCAGATTTTGTAGTTTTGTGCAGTTTTGCGATAAGTTTACAATTTATTCTACTTATTCTTATTTCTATAACTTCTATTCTTCTATTCTTTTTATAAACCTTTTATCTGTTATATTTCAAATTAATAAGTTTCAGAGTTATTACAGTATAGAGTATATAAGGTAATTAGTATATAAAATATAAATAGTTATTGTAGTGATTATTAACAAAGTATATTAAGTCAAGATGGTACGGACATGCTGCGTGCCTGGGTGCAAATCTAATGTGAAATCTGTTCCGTCGCACAGATTTCCTAAAGATTCACATAAAGCAATAACTTGGCTACAAGCAATTAAACGAACTGATTTAATTAGTAAGTTTAGTATACGTTGGTGTATAAATATTCATAAAATCTTGGATAGCATTATTTTACATGTATGTACATAAATGTTACATATATGTTTAAAAATAATCTTTCATATTACAGATGCATCGTTACAAACATTAAATAATTTGAGAATTTGCACATTACATTTTACTGATGATTGTATAGTAAGTTATGCAGCACGGCGAATTTTGAAAGATTGGGCACTTCCAAGTTTACAATTACCATTCATAATAACTGAACAAGATAGAGCTAGTACTAGTAGTAATATTATTTTTAATTTAGAAAATATAGATGTTCAGAATAATTCAACTCCACAAGTCTTATCTACAGTAATTGAACAAGATAGAGCTAATATTATAAATTTAGAAAATATAGATATTCAGCATAATCCTATTGTAATGTCAGTACCAAAGCAAATCAATGCAAACAAGTCAATGCAATTAGCAAGCCAGTGCAAGCAGCTCAATGTACAATCATCAGTTTCCATTCAAATTAGACAAAAACTAAGACAGGTCAAGAAACAATTATATAAAAAGAAGATTCAAATCTACAAGCAACGTAAACAAATCAATAAACTACGCAAGAGAGATAAATGGGAAGAAGTAGTAACAGATTTTTCATCTGCACAAAGAACGTTTTTAGATATGATAAAAACAAATTTAAAACGTAAACCAGAGGTATACTTGTTATAATTTTTTATTATTGACATAGTTTATACCGATGTTTTATTACATCGCATATTAAATAATAAATAACGTGATTATTAACGTGTTAAATATATTGACACGCCGGTCATTTGTGATTAGTATTATTAGCTTTAATATAATATATATAATTTAAGATTTGTAATTAGGATTAACATTGACTTCACGTAAATTGACAATAAATAATTTTGTTTTTACCCAGTGAGAAATGATCATCAATTCGATGTCGAATCGATGTCGAATT